GTCCTAAAAACTTACTTTTCAGACTAATCTGCTTTTTCATACACGTCAAACCTTGTGATGATTTTCTTGATGAATTTTTCAGACATCAACAGTTATGTCTTAATGTCATCTGGAATTTTGCTGCTGAAACCTTTAGTTACCATTCTTTTAAATTCTTATCTTTGTATTCAATAACATCATAATTTTCCAAGGTAAAATCAAACTAAAAGTTTATATCTGAATTAATGCTGTAGGTAAATGTTCCTATACAGAGATTGCCTACATTGCTGAAAAAAAAACCCATATCCATATGAAACTGGAGTCCTCTCAACAGTTATACTGCTAACAGCTAGAAATGAATAAAGCTGTATAGAAAAGCCACCACTACAGTTATACAAAAAAAAAAAAAAAAAAAAGAAAGAATACAATAGGAATACACCCTTCTTAATCCAGTGTTTATAAAAGCAAATAAAAGAAAATATCATTGACCAATTATCTACATGGCTTTACACTTTTTTTTTTTTATTTTCTAGAATCCAGTGAAATAATAATGTACTTTTCATCATGCAGATGATTAAAACACATAGACATTCTCTGCTTTCAAATCTACTTCTCCTGCCTTGTTTTTTTTGGTAATGCAGGTGTCAAGAGACAAAGTGTAGAGACTTGGCCTAATTCTGAGAATTTCAGATTTTTAATTTGAGAAATTAATACTGTTAAACTGCCTGAAAACAAAACCTGAAGAACAGTACTATGAGCTTGAGAGACCTGCATAGTCATTAAAGCACATTTGATTAAGTCCCATACAAATAAGATTGTGATATAACGCTTAGAAAATTAAATTATTTTTACATCTTTTGTTATATTTGCCTAAGTTCAGGACTAGAGGTCAGGAACTCCAAATTTTAATAATATCTTACAATGACTCTGGAAATCACCATGTTAAATCTATCTCAACTTTTTCCCTCAAATGTGCCCCCTGGAAAACTGGGACAACATGCAGATTCTTTCATGTGAAAATAAGGAAGGAGAGTTACAGTTTTGTGTAAGACACCCTGGAGATTAAGTAAAGCACAGTTAGAGGTTACCAAACTTCAACAGTTATCTGTCCTTCAGCCCATAAACATCAAAGAAAACAAAATCTTAGACACAGCTTCTAAAGACAAAACTGAGGCAATCGCTTTTGTGAAACAACAGAGGTAAATTAAAAAGTCATATTGGGTAGAGTAAACACTAAATACATCAGAAAAACAACATATTATTTGGATTTTTTACACTATCAAATTATGCATCCTGCAAAATTTGTACCATTCCAATTTACTCAATTACTATGTTGCATGGTGAAAAGAGAAGTAAACAGCTAATATATATGAGTTGAATTTCATAATAGCACAGCTCTTTTTAGGTATTTTTTTTCTCAACTCAGGATACTGAAATTCACATATCTGAAAAGGTGAATATGGAGGCATATTATAGTAAAGCACATGGTTGAGCCATCTGGGAGTCCTTAGGTTAAAATTTGTCACTTCAGAATTTCCACAGACACAGAGGAAAACACAAGTCTGAAGAATTACGAACAAATAATGTTTGTTCTAATAGACAGGTTTTCTTCAATTCACATTCAGTAAATATTAGGAAATAAGTATAGGAAAAATGTGGAAAAATAAGTTTTTGCTTCCTTTAATTCAAATTTTGTGTAAGTTTAACAAAAGAGTAATTTCAAGAACTGATAATAATAAAAGGTACTATTAGAAAGGGAAATTTCTTAACCACAAGATACAAATGTACTAAACCTACCACAGTAAGCATACATAAGCAACAAGTCCTTCCCACACCAAAAACAAACAAACAAACAAAAAAAGCCACACACACAAAAAAAAAAACAAACCCAGAGATAACTGGAAGTAAATAATATATTGGTCATTTCCATAGACTGAGAATTCCAAAAAGTGACCCTAACACAGAGAATTGGAAATCATTACAACAATCATTTAAAAATCATCTCCTTTTTCAGTCTTATGAATAGTATAACTCTTAATTAAAGTTAATGACTTAGGGGTAAATCCTGGTGAGGAAGCAAATCCTTCAAGAAAGACCTCTGCTCCATACAAAAGCTATCAAAGAGCTTAGTGACAAAATCCTCTGCCCCAGTTGGTCAGAATGCCTGGGCAGCTGGGCTACCACAGTTAATATAGCTTGTGAAAGGTAAAAGACTTACAACTGTCTACTTTCCATGTAGATTTTTAGTATTTTCTTCTAGAGCATTTCAAGGGTCTGCTTTGAGATTTCAGTGGCATTGAATTTTCTACTCTCACTTCATATATTATTCAAATATTCAGTGTCTCAACAATGTTTGGTCATTTGTGGTTTCTGATGGATCCAGAGCCATGTTTGCACAGGTTTTGTGTGGTTTTATATATTCCTTTTAGGCAGTTCATGGTTCACAATCTGATATTACTGTGGAAAATTGCTTTAATTTCATTGAATAAAAAAACCACTATACAACTGCATCATCATTTTAGTTTACTTTGCAACAATTAGTTACAAGCCTACAGGTTGCTGCCTTGGGCATGCTTATAAAGCAGTAACAATCTCCTGTTGCCCTCCTTGTATAACTTCCTGCCTTTCACACAATATTCATCGTAATCAAGGACTCAACTTTTACCACATCAGAGTCACATCAGCCTCATAATATATATGTCATTATTATGATTTCTACACAGTAAGCATTGGATGTTCATTCTGAACTTAAATAAGAACTAAGAACTACGTATGCATGCATATATGTGTATATTGTATTGTATATGCGTGTATTGTACAGTAGAACTTTTCCCATTCTTTACCTCAAGTACTATTCCACTTGTGACAGGATGCTTTTCAATTCCTTCTCTTTTATCATTATCTGCCCACTTTTCTTTAAACATTTCATTAACACAGTTCCAAATTGTCAGGATAATGTTTTTACCTTCCTTATTTTCTTTTGATTTGCCTAAGAATGTGATAATTAATAATAATAGTGTTTGTTACATGGAGCATGACATCTCTTCCTTCTTCAGTAAAATGATAATTTTTTACTCTTAATTCTTTTATAGTATTACTCTCACCGAACATGTTCCTTCTGGACCCTATTATTTCCTTTTATTCTTCTTTTACAAGTTTTGAAAGCATTCTTCAAAGAGATTTTTTTCAGTTGATTAACAGCATTGAGGTACATATTTTCTTCCTTAAAGCTCTTCAATTATCCACAAATTTTACAGGTTTCTTTCAAAGTAGTTGTTTCAAAACTTGTTTTATTCTGTTTACAATTTTCCTTGGTTTTCTTCTGTATTGACAATACCAAATGCATGAAGACAAACAAACAAAAAAGGTTATTTCCAAATTAATTTTAACATCTTTCTTAAGATGAATGCAAAATTTTGGAAGATAATCTAGTAGGTGCTAATTACTCCTGTCACATAGTCCTCCAAAATGCTCTATTTCAGCTTATTTAAATATGTACCTTATATGCTATTTTTATCATTAACATTTTTACATTCCATTTAGCTGCCATGTCTTAAAATACTGTGACAGAAATACTTCAGAAGCTGAGCCAGATGAGTCCTGAATTTTTGTGTGCCTTTAAAGATGGAGGATCCTAGGCTTGAGCCTATTTTGACATTCTAGAAGCATTTCCATTTTTTATACCTAAGTCAATATATACAATATATACCCATAAGTCAAACGTTTAGATATTCAACTCCTACTCACTGATTTCAGCTCTTTCTACAGCAGCTGTTTTGGACTGTTATCAGGAATAAAGATCTATTGAGGTACAATATTAGAGTGTTCACAACACCTATCATCCAGTGGCAAAGAAACATAATCATGGTCTGATCTGATTAATACTTCAGTTTAGCTGAGTGAAGAATAAAGGAGTGCACTGTAGTGTAAAAGAGAGACTGGAAACAGCTTTTTCTTCCCTCAAAGACAATTAAACTACTGTTCAGCTTTTGGAAGTGCTTCCTGGCCCAGTTTTTGGGGTGGGCTCAAGACTACAAACCTAATGTGAAGGGAGATGTGCCTTGGAGCCCAAAAGAAAGATAAGAGTATCTTTAAAAGGTGCAGATTCAAGGTACTACAGTTTCTCATTTTACTTATCTGCTAGCACAAACACCTTGATACACTGTACGCTGATACAGATATGCTTCACCTTCCCCAGGCTGTAGGCTGTTACTTAGCACTGTACAGTAAATTTCCCT